CCAAAGCCAACCATCCTTTTTTGATTTCACTTTTTATTTTGAAATATTTTGAACCTACAGAAAAGTTGCAAGAAAAGCTCAACAAACACCTTCATCCAGATTCACCAATTAACATTTTTGCCACATTTGCTTTGTCTCTCTCTCTAAATATACACATATATTATTATTATGTTGAATCATTTGAGGGTAAGTTAGACCAGGGATGTCTAAAGGAACCATCTGCGAGGATGGAAACGCTCTGTATCTGCACTGTCCAATACAGTAGATACTAATCTCATGTGGCTGTTTAAATTTTAAGTTAATTAAATTTAAATAATCACATTCTAAGTGCTTCCTAGCATGTGGTCAGTGGCTACTATATTGGTCAGTGCAGATATAGAACATTTTAGTATAATATGGTAGCCACTGGCCACAGGCTAGTGAGCACTTGCAATGTGGTTATTTATTTATTTATTTATAAATTTTATTTTATTTATTTATTTTTGGCTGCATTGGGTCTTTGTTGCTGTGCACGGGCTTTCTCTAGTTGCGGAGAGAGGGGGCTACTCTTCGTTGCCTTGCGTAGGCTTCTCACTGTGGTGGCTTCTCTTGTTGCTCTAGAGCACAGGCTCAGTAGTTGTGGCGCACGGGCTTAGTTGCTCTGCGGCATGTGGGATCTTCCCGGACCAGGGCTCGAACCCGTGTCCCCTGCATTGGCAGGCGGATTCTTAACCACTGCGCCACCAGGAAAGCCCCCGCAATGTGGTTATTTAAATGTAAAAAGCTTAAATACTGTACTCCTGTACCCCTAAATAATTAAATGTGTTATTTCCTAAAAACAAGGACATTCTCTTACACAACCACAATCTAATTATAGAGTTCAGGAAATGTAACACTGATACAATCCTGTTGTCTAAGACACAGTCTTATTCAAAGTTGGCCAATTGTCCCTAAATGTCTGCTCTAGTAATTTCCTCTTCCCACCCCAATCCAGGATCCAATCGGGGGTCACGCATTGCATTCAGCTATCATTGTCTCTTTAGTTTCCTTTAGCTGAGATCCTCATCCTGCCTTTGTCTTTTATGACACTGACATTTTTGAAGAGTACAGGCTAGTTGTTTTAATTTTCTATTTTATTATTATTTTTAAAATTATGTATTTATTTTGGCTGTGCCGGTTCTTAGTTGCGGCACATGGGATCTTTAGTTGTGGCATACGAACTCTTAGTTGCAGCATGCATGCGCGATCTAGTTCCCCAACCAGGGATTGAACCCGGGACCCCTGCACTGGGAGTGTGGAGTCTTACCCACTGGACCACCAGGGAAGTCCCCGGGCTAGTTGTTTTGAAAAATGTCTCTTAGGGAAGGAAGCTGCATGGCGTGGCCTAAATAAATAAATTAATTAAAATGTCTCTTAATAAGTCCTAGAGCTCTCCTGTACATCACTGTGTTTACAGTTAGCAATACTGTACTGTACACTAAAAAACTGTTCAGATGGTACTTCGATCTCATGTTACCTGTTCTTACGATACACACACAAAGTCTCTTAATTTAGGTGTTTCCTCACAATTAGATTCAAGATATGTAAGCATTTGGGGCCAGAGTATCTCAGAAATGGCGTGTCCCTCTCAATATGTCTCATCAGGACAAAGCCCTGATCCCAAACTCTATGGTAAATGGTACATGTATTTGAAGGAGGGAGACAATACTGGCTATGGAAATATCACGGGCCAACCTGAGAGGAACATGTTTCTCCCCCCACTTAAAAACCTTCAGTGACTCCCTTGTCACCACTAAGCGAAACCCCAAACTTCCTAGTATGGTGCTGAAGACTCTGGGCCCTAGCTTGCAGCCTTGTCCCCAGCCTCTCCAGTCACAAGGGATGGCTCACAGGTCCCCCAAAACATGCAAGCTCTTCCAAATCCTGTGTCTTTTCCTCCCACACCCTCATCTCTGGTGGACTCCTCTTCCTCATTCAAACATCATGTCCTTCAGGAAGGTTTCTATGATCTTGTCAGACTGAGACGGCCTTCAGGCTGTACTCTGAGAGCATTTTGTAGAGACCCCCTTTATAAGCAGACTTTATCATGCTGCAGTGATCTGACCACCTGTTGGCCTCCTCCTGGGTCTCCAATCATGAAACAAATCTTTTTCAAGCATCTACTATGTGCCAAGCACATAATGCTTGGAATACTGTGACGAACACAAAGGCATACACGATCCCTGCCTCACAGGGCTTGTGCTCTACCACAGAAACAGACAATTAAGTACTTACAAAAGTGTCACCATACACTTTTTAGTGCCTACAGGTTCCTGGCACCCAGAAAGAGCTCAATAAATGTTTGCCCAATGAATAAACGTGATCACCCAGGAGAGACACCCTGGGTGCCCTAGGATGAGGTGGGTGAGATGGGTTACCTGGAGGCCAATGGACAACCTGTTGACTCCTGCTGCCCGGAATGCTGCCAGCCTGGAGCTTGGGGCCGAAGTGGGGTTGGCCTCCAATGTGACTTCAGAGTCTGCAGGCAGGTGAGTTGCCTGGGCCACTGCCTCCAGGACAGCTGCCACAGTGTGGGGGCTGGCCAGACTGGGGGTACCCCCACCAAAGAACACAGACTCCACTCTAGGGAAAGAGGATGGAGAAGATGAGACGTGGGGGAGCCCTACGGGATGCCTGCACCTGTCCTATGCACCGGCCACATAATTCCCAAGACCCCGCCTATAGCCTCCAGTACCCACCGCTGCACCCCACTGAGTTGCAGCAGCGTCTGAGCCTCGGTCACCAGACAGCGTCTCATGGCAGCCTCGTCCACACCGCGGGGGATGTACTTGTTGAAGTTGCAGTAACTGCAGCGCTTCTCGCAGTAGGGCCACTGGGGGCAGGGGGCGTGTGAAAAGGACGAGAGATGACCGTGGGCTGCCCTGGCCACTTCCAGGGTTCAGTCGCACACATCCCCATCCCCACTCCTAGGTCAGTCAACAGTGGCTACCGCATCTAAGCCACGCAACTCCCCAAGGGGATTAGTAAGCCCACTTCAATAGGAGGAAACTGAGGTTCAGAAGGGAAATCACTTGGTCAAGGTCAACGAGATGGTGAGCACCAGAGACTTCAGCCCTCCGGACCAAGACATTTCCCTGCCAGGGAAAGGCCCCAGACCTCGTCTGGTAGCGGGGAAAGACGGCAGGTAGGCTCGCAGCGCGACAAGCGCCTCCTCGCCTCTGGCCCTCCGCGCCCGAGCCCCCGCCTCACCTCCCCACTCACGTGGACGTAAAGTGCTGCGCGCTGGCTCCCGGGCGTAGGACCCCGGGGTCCTCCCGCGTCCTCCGCGAGGCGGCGCCTCTGGGCCATCTTGGCGGCCTTCACCCAGCCGCGGGCCCGAACACCGGGGAGCGCCGTGCCGCCCGCTGTGGCGGGGCGGCCCGGTGCGCGGGCCAGCACCCGAGATCGAGACAAACCCAGGGCAAGGCGTACGGTGGGCCGGGTGGGCCGCCCCGGCGGAAGGAAAGGGGCTGCGTGGCCGCGCCCTGTGTCGGAGCGCCGCCGAGAGGGCTCCGGGCCGCAGCGCCACCGGGAGGGCTCCGGGCCGCAGCGCCACCTGCTGGGCACCGGTGCGCTCACCGCAGCCGCCCGGCCGTCCTTTCTCTGGCGGCGGCAGCGGTGCGGGGAGCTCCGCAGCTTTTGGCACCCCGTCGAAGGCGAGGTCCTGGATCAATCCAGGAACTCTTAGTTCGTTCAATGGGTTCCTTCACATTTTATGTGCCTGGTTCAGCGCTGGGAGCTGGGGATATCCAGATGCATAAGGCCAGGGCACAGTACAGGTGCATGAGACAGAACGTAAACCAACAAGAGAAAACAGGCAACCGATTTTAATTCAGCACTTGCTGGATACCAGGCCGGTGTGCTCCGTGCCGCGAGGCGGGTCTGTTACAAGGGATGTGGAATCAGTGGGGTAGAACAGGGCACTTGGACTGAATGTTGCAAGAGCAGAAAATCCCAGGGGGAATGGGCTTGGCCAGGAGAGTAGGTTGTCATCTCCTGGGTCAGGCCAACCCCAGGCACCTGCTGTGAGGAGAGTCAGAGATGCTGTATGTGGGACAGACAGGGTTCAGGTGAAGGGCTGGACAAGCAGGCACCTGAAGAACTGTCCCAGAAAGTGGAAGGATCATGGGCTTTGGAGTCAGTCACCTGGGTTCCCTAATTCCAGTTGTGTGACCTTGGGCAAGTCACTGAACTTCTTGAGTTTTAGTTTCATAGTTTGTGAAATGGGGCTGATGCCTACTTGACGGTGTCATTGGGAAAATTTCAACAGGAAATGTATATGGATGCACCTGTATGTGTATAATGCCTGGCACTCAGAAAACCCTAAATTTATGTCCATTTTCTAAAAAGTAAAGAGGAGGCTGCTGCTGCTAGGGCCAGACACACTGGGAGGTAAGGCTTGCAAGCAGAAGGAACTTTTCTTTCTGTCTCTGTGAACTGGAAATCGCTGTGCTCAGCTGTTTTTATTTCTTGGGTCAAGCTACAGCCTGCTTTATCCTGCTTTATCTGCCCATCAAGGAAGCCCCAGGTTCACTGAAAATTGGGTTGGTTGGGAGGGATGGGGGAGTAGGGGGGATGTAGGATGATAGCTAAAGGGTATGGAGTTTCTTTTTAAAAGGTGATGAACATTTTTTAAATTGACTCTGGTGACGGGTGCACATATCTGTGCATATACTAAAAACCATTGATGTAACACTTTAAATGGGTGAATCGGGTGGTATGTGAATTATAACTCAATAAAGCTGTTTTGTTTTTTTTTAAAAAAAAGGAATACTTCTTGCTGTACTAATCTGGCAACAATGTGAAAAAATACTGTGTTGGTATCTCAAAGGAATCGAGCGAGGATTAAATGAAGTAGATACTGCACGCCAAAGTGCTTAGTACTATCGTTGACAAGGAATAGGAGGTCTGAAAGTGCTTTGGTCTCTTCCCTTCTCCATCCTATAGCAGCTGCCAAGAGAGCATGCCAGCAAGAGAACAGCCAAAGTAAACAGAGAAGCTCTTTATGCCAAATCACAGAGCCGACAAGGGGAATGTGGGGGAAGGGCAGGGAGGAAGGATCCTCCCCACTCCTTTATTCACAGGTTTAGATGTTGTTCCATCTGCTCTCTTAGTTTGAATTTCTGGACCTAGAGGAAAGGGAAAGGAGTGAGAACCAGGCGTGGGCCTCTGCCAGCTAGGGTGACCAAGCCCAGCTGGTTTGCCTAAGACTGAGGAGTTTCTCAGGTTAAAGCCAGGAGAGTTTGGGGCAAACCAGGATGAGCTGAGTAGTTGGTTACCCTACTGCCAGCCTCTCAACAGAATCTGGCCCACCACTCAGGGAGGTATAGGCAGGCCGCCTGACCTTCTGCACCTGGGCCCCGGGCTCCCCTACCCCTCCCTGGTCTCCTTACACACCTTTCCTGAGACGGTGAGGGGGTAGTTTGTGACAAACACGATGTATCGGGGAATCTTGAAGTGGGAGATCTGCAGACCAGAGGGAGATAAAGCATGAGGCTGGGCGGGGTCCCACAGTTGGGTGTAGGGGACAGTGGGCTGACAGGTTGGCAGGCAGAGGGTGTTGGAGAACTGAGCAACATCGTGGTGCTTGGGGTGAGTTGAGGGTCCCACCTTCCCTTTGCAGAAAGCCTTGATCTCCTCCGCTGTGGTCTTCTCCCCTTTCTTGAGCTGAATGCAGGCACAGATTTCCTCCCCCATCCGCTCATCCTTCACTCCTACCACCTTCCAGAGTCAGAGATAGATATCAGACATCCCCATCCCCATCCGTGTCCCCTGCTCTTGGGGTCTCACCTGGGCTGGGCACCTCACCTGCACTTCCTGCACCTGTGGGTGTGTGTGAAAGAAGTTCTCGAGCTCAGCGGGATAGATGTTCTCACCGCCGCGGATGATCATATCCTTGGAGCGGCCCAGAATCTTGCAGAAGCCCTGCTCGTCCATCATGGCAATGTCTCTGCAAGGAAAGCCCAGGAGCCGCCTCTCACCTCTGCCTCATCTGGCTGGCTCGCTCACTCATTCAGCAAAAATTTATCGAGCACCTACTATATGTCTTGCACTACTCTAGACTCTGGGGCATATGGCATGAACAAGACATTACTTGGATCGTATAGTCTCATGTAGGAGGCAGATAAAACCAAGTAAACCCATACCTATGGCATATTTTTTCTCTCTCTCTAAACATATCTATACATATGATTTTCATGGCTGGCTTCTTCTTATCATTCAGGTTTCAGCTCAAACGTTTCCACCTTAGAGAAGCCTTCTCTGATCACCCAGTAAAGGGAAGCCCCCCTCCCCACCACAGCCACTCTCTCTCTTATGACCCTATTTTATTTTCTTCGTGATGTTTATAAATGTCTGAAATGATCTTGTTTGTATCTGTCTCCCTCCACCAGATGTGTGGGAAGTAAGAGCAGGACCCTTCCCAGTGTGCCTTCCACTGGACCACCGGTGTCTAGAATCATGCTGGCACATGGCAGGTGCATAATTAGAATTTGTTGAACTAAATGAGTGACTGAATCTTGGCTCAGATTTTGCAGGCACTGTCCCAGGTGCTCTCATCTGTGCTGCATTTGGTCCTTCTGGGAGCCCTATTTGGAGACTATGGTCATCCCCATTTTATACATTTTGGAAACTAAGTCTCGGAGATGTGAAGGGACCATCTTGACACACATGTTCTCCCTGTTCTAGTTCAATGTTGCCAGCTCAGCCTCAGGACCCCCAGCCTCCCCTCGGCAGCCCAACTCTCCACACTGCCCTGCCTTCTCACCCTGTCCGGTACCACTTGTCCTGTCCAGTTGCTTCCTCGGTCTTCCAGGGCTCACCCCAGTAGCCCAGCATGACGCAGTACCCTCGGATGCACAGCTCTCCAGGTGTGTTCAGCTCTGCCAGTGTCCCCGTCCCCATGTTCACGATCTGGGCCTGGGACCAGGCAGCTTCAGGCTGGGGCCTCCCACCCTCTCACTTCAGGATGGGGGGCCCTCAGGATGGGGGGAGCTTTGCCTTCCTTCCCCCTAGTAATGAATCCCCCTGGCTCTGCCCATCCCCAGGGAAGGGAGACAAAGGCTGGAGTAGGTCCATCACCAGTCCGACACTGGAGCTGGGCATGAAAGAATAGTTGAGGCCCAGGCCAGGAGGTGCTGAGGAAACAGAGTGGAAAGGAGCTGCTCAGAGGAGGAAGCCTGCGGGGGAGCCAGGCCAGCTGAAGAATTATAAACAATGCACAAGAAAGGGGAGTCTCCTCTTACTTCCCATTAAGCAGTAAATAAAGAAGCCAAAGAGGGTGGCACAGCAGGGCCATGTGAACAGAAGAGGTGGCAAACAGGCAGAATCTGAAAGCCTAGTTGAGAAATGAGCCACAGCCAATGTGCAAGGAGAGCTTAGCCTGTGTGCCTCGTGTCTGCATCTGTGAAATGGGGAGAACTACACTTGCCCTGTCTATCCCACAGGTGGGCATCCCAGAGTGGCAGTGAGGCTGTCAGACACATGGGAGGGGGCTGATGTCACTGCACACTCACTTCAGGGAGAAGGGCAGTTGGTCCCTGGGGAAGCACTCTGGCAGTGACCCCAGAGGGGCAAGGGCACAAGGTGGGGCGGGGGGGGGGGGAACCAGGTACGGGCTGGCATAAAGCACCACTGTTAGAGGCTGGGAATTTGAGAGCGAAAGGTGCTCTGGGTCAGCCTTCAAGGTGCAAGGGACCCCCAGAGGAAGAAGCTGCTTGGGAAACTGTTTATGCCAAGCGAAAAGAGGACCTCTGCCAAAGTGAGTGGGGGCGGGTGGGGAGGCAGGGCTATGGGAGAGAAAGAGCTGTGTAGGAAAAATCTCTGTGCCCTGGATCCTCTTTGAGGCTGTTCTGGCTGCCCCAAAACAGACAGTGGGCTTGGCAAAAACACACCTCAGACAGGAAGGGAGGCTGCAGAGAAGTTCAGCTGTGGCTGGCCACTGTTCCAGCTCTTCCCCACTCAGGCCTCAGCCCACAGAGAAAGCCCCAGGCCCGGGAAGACCTTGCTGCTGCAAGACCTTGCTGCTGCGGGCTCTCAGCGTCTTGAGTGAGCTGTTTGGATCTCTAACTGAACGCAATAAACATCCCAGGGGGTGAGCCCCAGGCGAATGGTGGGAGGTGGGGTCTGGGGCCCACCTCTGTGTGAGGCATGATCCTGCCCACACTTTCCGCCTTCTGCTCCACAGTGTCCTCGGTGAAGTTCATGAAGGTCACGGGACTGTTCTCTGTGGATCCATAAACCACCTAGAGGGTCCAGAAAGGGTGTTTGCAACAGAGCCCAGGACTGCAGCAGGATGGGGAAGTTACCCTGAGGGAAGGAACCGGGTGGGGGGTGGGGCGGGAAATGGGGAGAGTGGAAAGGCAGTTGAATGGTGGGAAAAGAGGCATATTCGGCAGAAGTCGGGAGGCAGAGGCACTGGATGTATTGCAGACTAGCTCAACTAGCAGGGGGCCGGGCTCTCAGTCTTTGTTCTTTCCTGGAGCAGCCTTACCAATGTCCCAGCCTTCTCCACCTCCTCCCCCGGCTGTCTTAGCAGCCCGTTCCTGATTTTGGGCCACAACATCCCCTGCCCCACCCTTCCAAGCTGAAGGACCCATAAACTTGATGAGAAAGCCAGCCTGCCTTGACCAGCTGGGAGCTACACAGACACAGCCCACCCGAAACCCGGGACAAGTGCCTAGCCTTGGGGTAGGTGCCCCCCAAGTTCTGGAGAGTTTCCTGTAAATTTATTTTCCTCAAAATAAAAATACAGGCAAAGCAAGGATTTAAAAAGCCAGTGGCACACCTCCCCCACCCCCCCTTCTAGTGGTCAGAACATCTTAAGCAACAGAAAACCAGCAGCCAGCCTTGGAGGAACATCACCAGGCAGTGCTCTCGGCCAACTATGATCCCCATCTAGAGGCGACAGGTGAAAGGGGCTTAGGAGAGGGCAGGCCTCCACACCTGAGTGCTGGGTGAAGGGAGAGGGGCTGGCTGCCCTCTGTTCTAGGTTCCTTCCAGCCAGCAAAGACGCCAGACATTTTTTCATCCTTCAACCCCACCCTACCCCCCATTTCCTCTGTGTTAGTGGAAATGACTCAGGCATAGCTGGGGTTTGGAGAGACCTGGGGTCTGGCTCCTCCCCTCACCTCCAACACAGACAAGAACCTCTACCATCAGCCCAGAGCTCGCTTTGGGGCCAGAGCTGAGACTCTGCCTGCCCACTCTCCCCGTTCCACAAAAATGTGGACACCGTGGCAGTCACGTGAACACACAGAGACCTGGTCGGCTGGGGCAGGGCTGTCCACAGGATCTAGGGTCGAGAAGCCCAAGCTGTCCAGGGCTGGTCTCTTGTAGCCAGGACCCAGCCCCCTCACCCACCCTCACAGTCCTGGGGCCACTGCCCAGGTGTGGCTTCTGTCAAGTACACCTTGATGCCTCTCTGGCTGCCACTCTGGGAGAATCCCCCCACCAAGGGGTCCTGACCTCTGGGGGTGGGGATGAGGAGATGGGGACATTTCAGGGAGATTAAGGACTGGGGAGATGGTGCGACTGTGCCTGTGGTCTTCAGGTGTTAGCCGAGCCCTGTGGGTCATTCCCCTTGCCCCCAGTTCCCACTTTTCTGGTTGCCTTCAGTCGTGGCAAAGGGGCATAGGCGGTGCAGGGGACAGAAACTCAAGCCCGGGGCTGGGAGAGAGGGGCCAGAGGCGGGGCCAGAGGCCAGTCCAGGGCAGGGAAGAGCTCCCACCTCCTGAGGGCTGGCTGCGGGTGCAGCTGGAAGGGGAGACCGACGCCAGAGAGCCCCATTAAAGCGCCGCCGGCCGGCGACTGCGGCGAGACTCGCGTCCGGCTGTCCGGCCCCGCTTCCTCCCTCGCTGGGTCCAGGGCACACGGCCGAGCGCAGAAGGGGGGAGGCGTGGAGGCTCAGACTTGAGCAAACAAATAAGTTCAGGGAAGCCTCCCTCTCTTTGGTGTAAACTCCGGGCCCGGGACACACCCATACCCACCCCGGCAGGGGCGGGGGTGGGGTGGGGGTGGGGAAGGGGGTCGGGGTGGGGAGGGAGCAGAATCCGAGGGCAGGGAGATAGGGGACCACACGGTCCCCATGGTGGGGGGGCCCCTCCCCTTCGAGGGCGGGGGCGCAGCTCCTGGCGGCCTCGCGGCTCCACGTAGGAGCTGGCTCCGGCTGCCGGCTGTGGTCAGGGCCATCGTATAAATAGGGCGGGAGACGGAGCACTGAGGACTTGCCGCTGCCCCCAGCCCCGGCCCCAGGCGTCCCGGCCATGGCCCGCCCGATAGTCTTGCTCAGCCTCGGCCTCCTGGCCGGCCTGCTGCCGGCGCTGGCCGCCTGCCCCCAGAACTGCCACTGCCACGGTGACCTGCAGCACGTCATCTGCGACAAGGTGGGGCTGCAGAAGATCCCCAAGGTGTCAGAGAAGACCAAGCTGCTCAACCTCCAGCGCAACAACTTCCCCGTGCTGGCTGCCAACTCGTTTCGGGCCATGCCGAACCTCGTGTCGCTGCACCTGCAGCACTGCCGCATCCGCGAGGTGGCCGCGGGTGCCTTCCGCGGCCTCAAGCAGCTCATCTACCTGTACCTGTCCCACAATGACATCCGCGTGCTGCGCTCCGGCGCCTTCGACGACCTGACCGAGCTCACCTACCTCTACCTGGACCACAACAAGGTGACCGAGCTGCCCCAGGGGCTGCTCTCTCCGCTGGTCAACCTCTTCATCCTGCAGCTCAACAACAACAAGATTCGCGAGCTGCGCCCGGGCGCCTTCCACGGCGCCAAGGACCTGCGCTGGCTCTACCTGTCGGAAAACTCACTCAGTTCCCTGCAGCCCGGCACTCTGGAGGACGTGGAGAACCTCGCCAAGTTCTACCTGGACAGGAACCAGCTGTCCAGCTACCCCTTGGCTGCTCTGAGCAAGCTGCGGGTGGTGGAGGATCTGAAGCTGTCCCACAATCCCCTGAAAAGCATTCCCGACAATGCCTTCCAGTCTTTCGGCAGATATCTGGAGACCCTCTGGCTGGACGACACCAACCTGGAGAAGGTGAGCTCCTGGCTGCAGGGCTCTGCCCCGGCTCCTTCTTCACTGCCAGGAGGCCAAGGGATCCAGGGCCACAGCTGGGCACCATCCCCTCTCCCCTAAATTTGCCTCTTCCTGTGGCTATCTCCAAGGTGAGGAGCTCTGCTCCCTCTGTCCTCATCTTGTCATATTCTCACCCAAAATCCTGCCCTGCTGCCCCTGTCCCTAGTCTCGGCCACTGCCCTCCTAGGATTCCTACTTAGGAACAGAGCTGGGGCTGCCCTGGCCCCACCAATGGCCCCCAGGAGGCATGTCCAGGGCTCCCAAACCCCCTGCTGTGTACAGCAGCCACCTCTTCCTGTTGGGCCTTCCACCCCTCCTCTGCTGTATTCCGCCCCCCCATCTCCAGTAAAACTACCACCCCATAAAGGGATGTTTGTTTACTGAGGAGCCTTCCAGGGGAGCTGGGCAAATCAGGCCCACAAAGACACCCTGTTCCTGGTGGGGAGTGTGCTAAGATGGGGTGGGGGGGCTGGGGAGTGAGGAGGAACACATACCTGAGGAAGACCTCCTCCATGCCTCCCAGAGGCCCTGATGGATCCCCCATCCCCACCCCCAGTCCACACACATACATTCCACTGCATTCTCAGGTCCATTTCAGCTGAGTGGGGACAGAGGGCCTGCCCCAGGTTGCAGACATGCACCCATGGGTTCCGTGAGGGGGCAAAGGCAGAACCACTCACCACTGTTAACCTTTGGCACAATGACCCTAGGTATCTCCCCATAGGAAAGACTGGCCATGCCTCACTGTGTCCCAGACAACTCACTGCCCTTTGCCCACCCTGGTCACCAGACCCATCTCCTGGCTGCGTCCTCGCTCAGTCCTTCCTCCTCTGTGATGCCCAGCACCTGGCCAGGTGGGGCTGCCTTGGGTCGGACTGGAATCCTTCCTTGGGACTAGAAAATCGCTCTGGTGTAGGGGCTCCAGCCAGGAGGTTTGGGCAGGGACCAGGGCAAGGTGGGGGAGATGGTCATCAGAGCAGTCTGATCACCAGGGAATTTCACACCCTTCTCTGGGCCACAGGCACAGAGATGAGGGCAGAATCATACCTGGACGGCAACCAGCCTTCATCTGGGTGGACAGAGTCTGCCCGAGCTTGCCCTTCTTCAGCCCCAGCCACTCCCCAGCAGAAGTCAGAGTCGCCCGTGGCCCACCATTGCCAGCGTGGCCTTTCAGTGGGAAGTAGAGCAGGGCAGCAGGGGCTCATTTGGGGCAGGGGAGGCCAGGCAGGAACTGTGATGTCTGGGCCAAGATATGGGCACCAATAGAATGTTTCCTCTGGAGCCAGACAACCTGGCCCAAGACTCCACCGAGGTGGCTCCACAAATAGAGTCTGGCAGGCAGTGAGGGAGCAGTGAGGATAGAGCTGGGGGACATCCCAGGACCCTGGGGGCTGTGGGGAACCTGGGCCCACTGCCCATCGCACCAAACACTGACCAGCTTCACTGTGTGCCAGCTTGGGCCACTGGGGCCAAACTCTGGCTGCCTCCCCAGCCCCAGTGTTTGTGCAGGAAGCATGGTGCCAGGGGAGGAGGAGCTGGATGTGGTCCTGCAGCTACTGTTGACTCCCTGGGCAAGGGACTTAACCCCTCCCCCGCCCCCCGCCAATTTACATATTGGAAATAACACTACCTATCTCAAAAGGTGGTTGTATGGATTAGGTCATCTGAGACAACTTAGTCATACTGTGAAACTCCTCAAGGTGCCACTGCTTACGTCCAGGGAACGACCCTGCTCCTCTGGGGCCATAGAGATGGGAGAGGCCGGACACGGGCTGCGGTGCTCACTCGTGCCCACCTCCCTCCCTAGTTCTCTGATGGTGCCTTCTTGGGTGTGACCACGCTGAAACATGTCCATCTGGAGAACAATCGCCTGAACCAGCTGCCTTCCAGCTTCCCCTTTCACAGCCTGGAGACCCTCACCCTCACCAACAACCCCTGGAAATGTACCTGCCAGCTCCAGGGACTGCGGAGGTGAGAGGACCCCCGTGGTACCCCCAGAACATGCTCGTGTGATGGAGTAGAGACACACTGGCCCTGCACTAAGACATCCTGGGCATATGTCCTAGATCTGCTACCTAATAGGTGTGGAACCCTGGGCATTGCCCGATTTGCATGAAGATGACAGTTCCAGACTACCTTAAAGCCAAGTCAACCTGGCCCCATGGCTCACTGGCCCTTCCTCCAGTACTCTTACTCTCTTCCCCTACCCCAGCAACTCTCTGTCTCTCCAGGTGGCTGGAAGCCAAGACCTCCCGCCCTGATGCCACTTGCGTGTCGCCCGCCAAGTTCAGGGGCCAGCACATTCGTGACACGGACGCCTTCCGCGGCTGCAAGTTTCCCACTAAGAGGTCCAAGAAAGCCGGCCGCCATTAAACAGGTATGGCCCGGTGGGCAGGTCCCCCATTCCCTCTCTAGAGATTCTGGAAGTGAGGAGGGTGTCTCAGGATACTTCCCCACCATGAAAGGGCATGCAGACCCTCCATTTTTGCAGGGAGAGGAGGGGAGGACTGGGGCTCCCCCTCTAAGGGGGAAAATGATGCTGCCCAGGACCATCACCATTCTCTCCAAACACCGTCTAGGTTGTTGGGGTCCTGACACCAATCCTCGCCTCACCGCAGGTCCTGACCCAGCCGGTCCTGGTGACTGATCTCTGCCTTCTGCCGGAGAAACTACTGATCCTCCCACCTCCGACCCCCCCTTCTCCCCACAGCCTTTGCTAATGCACAGAGCTGTCCACACCTAGACATGTCCTGGCAGGGCGCTCGGGCGCTGCAGCACAAACCCAGCTCCACCGGACGGTGAGAGCTTCATCACGCCTGGCCCCGCGGCTACGGCTCCTCTCAGAGAAGCTGTTGCTGAGACCCCCCAAGTCCTTTAGAACCGGAACACGGTGGCCATCAGGATGGCCACTCTTCCAGAATCCCCGTCTCTGCTCCCCTTTCCCTGCCATTTGGAAACAAACATCAAATCCTTGCCCCACCCCTTGCTTCTAGGAAGGGTCTCAAGCCCCTACCCCCAACTTTGCCAGCCCCCGCCTGCCAGGACACTCTAGCCGGACACTGGTGCTTTGCCACACATCCTCCCGTGCTGCATTTCTTCCCCAGATTTCTATAAATATAAATTTATGTATGTGTAATATTTACTCCCCTGTCACCTATCTCTGTGACTTGAGAGCTGCCGATTAGGTAAGACTGTTTTTTCTCACATCTGCTTTCTGGAATGACGGCCAGCTGGAGGGTCTTCCTTGGAGACCCAGGCTGGGCTCCTCCCCACTCCCAGCAATCTCTTCTCGCCCAGCCCCGTCCTCCACTCACCACCAGTTCCTTCATGTTCAGCTTGTTGATGATGGCTCGGATCAGCTCTGAGGATGCAGGGGACCCACCGATCACACCTGAATCAGAGAGAGGGCTGACACAGCTCCCACCTTCTCCAGGCCCAGTGGACCCTCCCTTCACCTACGGCCCTTTTTAGGAAATAACATTCCCTTCTCTCCCCAACCCCGGACCCATTCCTAGGCCAGGCAGCTGGCCTTGGCCTGGAGTCTAGGGACACTGGGGATTTTCCTCCCTCCCACCCATGTTTCTACAGTGGCCTTCTTGCCCCTAAATGAAAGATTGGGCACATATGTAGCTCACTGGACCAATCCTGGCCTGCCACCCTTGGCCCCATCCCACCTCCACACATGGCTGAGATGTCATAACTTGAGAAGTCTGGTTGGTTCAGAATGTCCACGAACATTGTGGGAGTTCCGTACAGCAAGGAGCCTCTGTATGAGGGAGGTACATCTCAGAATCAGGCTTGGAAGTAGAAGGGAACTTCCTCTTCTCACCACCCCACCTGACGCTACAGTAAGGGCCAAGGCTGCAACTGTGGGGAACAGGCAGGAGAAGCTCCTTGGAGGGAGGAACTGGTCCTCTCCTGGGGGTCTCCCACTACCCCGTCTCCATTTCTCCTGGTTGGAGGGAAGAGACATCTTGGAAAGGGATCAGGGCCCAGAAGTGAGGAATAGGAGGGTCTTATCAGCCCACAGATAGCTGTCCACTGATGCCCACCTCTCTCTGCTGATGGCCTCCAGCGCCTTCTTGCCATCAAAGACCGGAGAGGACAGGATGAGGGTGACCCCGTGCATCAAGCTCACCATTGTGCCTCCCACGGAACCCAGGCAGTGGTACAGGGGGTTGGGCAGGACCACCCGTGACTTGTCTGGTGGCTGGAGATGGAAGCAGGAGGCTGGGTCTATTGTGGGGCCCCTGGAAGCCAGTTCCTCTAGCCAGCGGGGGAGCCCAGCAAGCCCCCCCCCCACTGGCACGGTGCCAGGGAAGCCCTTGCTGGGCCAGCACCCCCTCACCTTCTGGTGCAGTCTCAGGCGCTCTCCTATCATGTTGGAGTTGTTGACAATGTTGTAGTGGGAGAGTGTGGCCCCCTTGGGGCTGCCGGTTGTCCCCTGACAAGACAAGCAGGTGATGGCTTGGCCTCTTTCATCCCATCTCCTTCCCACCCTGGGCCAGTGCATGGAAGAGCACTGGACTAGGAGTTAGGAGACCGAGACGGCTGCCCCAGATCCATTCATTCACTCAGTACATATTCACAAAGATCTGCCACATGCCTACACGGTGCCAGGTGTTAGGATCCACAGAGGTGGCAAATAAGGTCTGTCCTTATGCCACTCATGAGGTGGCTCAGAGAACTCTGTGGCTCACCAGCAGATGCCCTCTCTGGACCTCAGTCTCCCGATCTGCTAAATGAGGGGCTCTGACCTGTGGTGGCTCAGTGCGTCTGCCCCTGTGCTGGGCACAAGAGGGCCAGGGGAGGTGGGCATGTGACAAGGACACCAGGTGCTGAAGTTTTCCCGGGCAGAGCAGACAGCTAGGGCCGGCCCCACTAGAAGAGTGTTTGCTCTCCCCTTATCTCCTCTGCTGCCTCCTCCTTCTGGGGGGAGGGCCACATGACGGGCAAGCGTTAGTGTGCCAGCCTGGGCTCGGGACAGGAGACCTCTGCCCTACCGAGGTGAACTGGATGTTGATGGGGTCATGGCAGGACAGGAGCTGCTGGGTGTGCCGGAGCCGGGCCAGATTCTGCTCTTGACTGCCAGCTGCCACCACCTCATCCAGAAGCAGCGTCCCTGGCAGAGGGGCGTCCGCCGAGATGACTGTGGTCAGCTCTGGGAGCCTGGGGGTAAGGGAGCATGGTGAGAGTCAGGGGCTGAGGAAGGGTACGGGATGAGGGGGCCAGGAGGCTGCATGAGGCACGCCTCCCAATCTGGGACACCCCCACCTCTGACTCTTCAAGCGCCCCGGCTGGGCCTTCTCCACCTCTGGACAGATCTGCTTCAGGATGCTGTAGTAATGCTGGGTCTTGAATTGCCTGGGGAACACGAGGGCCTTGCAGCCCACCTGTAGGAGGGGAGCGCCCCACCACGGTCAACAGGAAGCCCCAGCCTGGGGATGTGGTGGCATCCTAACAGTTGCTCTCTTGCCCACACACACCACCACCACGACACACACATGCACCACCCCCAACACACACACACCACCCCCAACACACACACTAGCCTGTCTGACCAACAACCCACTCTTCCCACCCACCGTCTAAGGAAGGACAGACTCTGAGGGTCACTCACTTGAGCATGGCCCCCCAGCCCAGTCAGCCCTCTATGACAACTGGAAGCCCCCTGTGCCACCAGCTGGCTCCCCCGCCCCCACCAAGGCAAGGAATGGGCCTACCTTCTTGAGGGCATACTCCACCTCCATAGCCTGGTAGGCTGGGTTCACAGACACCTGGTGGAGACAGAGAGGGTACATCATGTGTCCTGGGCAGACTCTGTCCCTCTCACTGCCCCTCCACCCTCAGAGGCAGCACCCTGTACCTTCAGGCTTCCTTGGTGGGCTTCAGGAGAAAGCACCAGCTGGTCTGAAACCAGCCAGGCACCGGTATGATTCTGGGGCCAAGGGTCAAGGGGGTTCCCCTGAATGATGCCCCCCCCCCCCACAGCCAGCTGTGCCAGGTAAGCCCCTCCTCACCAGAATGATGCCTGCCTGGGCCGTGGCCAGCTGCATGAGTACCCATGCGTAAGAGTTGGGTCCCCACATGCCCAGACGGTCACCCTTGCAGAGGCCAGTACTCAGGAGCCCAGAAGCAGCTTTGTCCACCTGGTATAAACAGGGCACAAAAGGGTGAGATGCAGGTGAGCAGAAAGGGGCCCATGACTCGCCCCTTAACCTTTGGCCCAGGGGTTCACATCAGAACCACCTGGGAACAAGGGACAGGCAGATACCTGGGTCTCAGCATATCTGGAGGGGGCTTGGGAACATGCATAGTTAACCAGTGTCCCAAGAACGACTGATGCAGGAGGCACCTGGGCCACCTCTGCCTCAGTCCTGCCCTCCTCTCCTGACACCCCTTGGGGCTCTCAGGCAGCCCCGGCACCCTGCCCCACAGCTAGGCACCACCCTTGCTGCTCCACCCAGCCAGGGCAGCCTGGCGGCCAGCACCTGCCCACTTTGAGGGTTCAAAGTCAGGACCCACCTCCTCCTTGAGCTGGGCAAAGGTCAACCTGATGTTTTCGTGGTGGACAACCAAGGCCTCTCGGTCCGGGACCCTCTGTGCTGTGGCATCCAGGCATTGCCCCACAGTCTTGTTAATAAGGTGCAATGTGGTATGGCCCTGGACATAGCTGAGGCCTCCAATGGGCAGGGTGGCGGTGCGATCCATCTCTCCAGAACTGTGGGGAGAGGGGCTGTGGGCTCAACTGCACCAACCCAGGCGTCCTGGCAACAAAGCCTGGCACACCCCGCTGGGAGGTAGGCTGCTTACAATGTGTGCGGGATACTCCAGAAACTGTCTGATCCGCCCCATCCCCAGGGACCATCATCATTTAACTTAGGACCTGCTTCGCCCTTGGGAGATCAAACCTGGAGGCTGACTTCCTGTCATTAATCAGAGAGAAGGTTCTTTTCCCCAACCTACTCCCCAGTTTCCACTCAGTGCCAGGGGCCTGAAGCCTTGGTGCCAAAACCCTGGAAAGGGAAACTAAAGTCAATCACGCTGATTTGACGAAGCAGGGAGGTAGCCTGTGTGGGCTAGAAACGGCCTCATCCTAGACACCGCTTCCTCCTAGTAAAAAGGCCCCTGGGTATTTGTCAAAACCCACAGAATAGTCTAACACAAGGACTAAACCTTAACGTACTATGGACTATAGTCAATAATAATGTACCATACAAGTTCCCTAATTGTAACAAATGTACCACACTAATGCAGATGTGAATAGCAGGGAAACTGTGCCGGGGTGGGGTGGGGGGTGGGTATAAGGAACTCTATGTTCAATCTGCTCAGTTATTCTGTAACTCTAAAACTGTTTAGGGGGACTTCTCTGGTGGCGCAGTGTTTAAGACTCCGCGCTCCCAATGCAGGGGGCCCAGGTCTGATCCCTGGTCAGGGAACTAGATCCCACATGCATGTCGCAACTAAGAGTTCACATGCCACAACTAAGGAGCACGCCAGCCGCAACTAAGGAGCACACATGCCACAACTAAGGAGCTGGCGACCTGCAGCTAAGGAGCCCGTGAGCCGCAACTAAGGAGCACGCCTGCTGCAACTGAGACCTGGTGCAACAAAATAAATAAGTTAAATAAATGTACATTTAAAAAAATTTAAAAATAAAACTATTAATTACTAAAACTGTCTAAAGTCTATTAATTAATTAAAAGCAAAAACGAAAAAAGGTCCCCAGCAGTCCAAGTGTCACAGGCCTAGGACTGCTCGTGCCCGCTTCGCTGCCCTGGGTTACAGCTGCTGGGCTCCCACCCAGGCCCAGGTGGGAGTGTGGTAGCTCTCAGACCCTGTTCTTATCAGAGAGGGCATGCTCCAGACCCTTCCAGGATCCTTCAAGGCCTCCTCTGGGCCACCACTGGGTGGTGTGGGCCCCAGGGACCCTTCCTGATGATTCAGTCCTGCAGCTGCTAAGCTGAAAAGACCGAGCCTGGCTTTCACTGACTGACCACTTATGGCTTATGGGGGAGAATTTCTGGGAAAAACAAGGTATGCAGGGCAGAGGGGAGCAAAACTGGTTTTCCCTGTAAATGGGTGAGGAGACCTCATGTCACAGGAGGGCGGGTCCCGGTGCGGGTCCCAGTGTGGGCTTGAGGTCTCGTCCCAGGTGTACCACCCGCTGGGTGGGTGGCTGTCACAGACACCTTTGGTGTCCCTTGACATGTCTCCTCAGTGCATCTCTGGTTTCAGCTGCTGGGACAGTTCCTTGTGGTTCTGTCTGCTCAGGGACTCCCTCAAGTCTCCCCTTCTTAGCTGGACAGTTCTGGGAGGCATCAAGTCCCGGGGGGAAGACCCTGGTTGCCTGCACACACCCCATACTGACTTCTCGTCTTGTCTCCTCTCCGCACTCCCTCACTCCTACTTCCTAGGATCACAAATAAATCACCAGCACCCAAGTCCTTGCTCTCAAGAGAATCCAAGTTAAGATACCTGTGTCTTCGTCTCTCTAGGCCTCAGCTTCCCCACCTATAAAGTTTGAGGACTTGGATCAGTGGTTATCCTCAAGGGGATGCTATTTACCTACCTGGGCAATCTTCTCAAAGGGTTGTAGCGAGCCACCTAAGCCAGGTGGTTCCCTCAGGTGTGTTGGAGCAGAAAACAGCCAGGTGTCACAGGCCTCTGAAGCCCTGCCAGCAGCCCACACTCAGGGTAACAAACCTAAAGAACTACTAAGGTAGTTCCCTGTGGTCACCATGACACCCCTCAAGAGAGACTGTGTACCCAAATCCTTCACTCACAGGCATACTGTGGAGGGCATCCATTTTTGCTCACTGGGAAACAGATACGCTCTTTTCTTTGGGTTTGCCAAAGTGATAGGTGCAAGAGCAAACATGTGGAGAAAACCTGCTTAAGAAGAAAGCCAACACAGAGGAAAGTAGGAGAGATGGAAAGAGACAGAGAGACAAAGAGAGACAGAAACAGAGACAGGAAGACGCAGTGACAGACTTAATCTTGAGATTGTCGAATACCTAGACCCAGTCACGTGTTAAGCCTACCTACCTCTGGACTTCTCACTGTCAACAGTCAATAAATTCCCTCTTTCAATTTAAGCCAGTCTGGGGGTCGGGGAGGGGAAAGCTGAACTCCATTTGTGACAACATGGATGAACCTAAAGGACATTATGCTTAAGGGAAATAAGCCAGACACAGAAAGATTAATACTGCATGATCTCACTCATATATGTAATCTAAAATATGAACAAACAAACAAATTTAAGCCAGTCCGAGTTCGGTTTCTATTGCTTACCACTGGTGAGTCCTAACTATATACATTTTTTGCATTCAGTGGCTTACCACTGGCCTTGAAAGCCCGGCAGGCCACTTCCCAACAGCCCAGCATCTGGATTAGAAGGCAGAGAAATACAGATCTCAGCCAGTTTAATGGTCACATTGTCAACAAATCATTAAAGGTGGGGAGCGGGGGGATCTGCCTGACAACACGGACCCTCTTATTCTCAAAATGACCCGGAGTCCTATTTTGTTTGGAATCTGATTTTCTACACATTCACCATGGTTTTCAGTGGCTTCTTGGAGTGTCTAGTTGGCAAATCAACAGGTTGATTAATGTGCCCTCCCCCAAATGCAGTTCAATTGCCCTGTGTATTATCTCCTTTATCTTCATGGTGGCTCTGATAGATGGTATGAGAGAGACCCCCAGTAGCCCCTTCTCCCTTAATAATACACCCTTGGATGTTCACCTGGCTATGGCCAGGTGGAATAGAGACCACATTTCCAAGCTTCCCCAGCAGGTGGTCTGGTCCAGGAATAAAGTTTTGGCCGAGGGGATTTAAGGAGAGGTCGTGTGTGCAGGTTCTGAGAAGAACCCTTAAAGAGAAGCACATCTTTTTTTCTTTCCCACTGGCTGTAATGCTGCCCATGACAGTTCTCTTGGACCACATGGTGAGCTTGGGCACCACAGAGCAACAGACAGAAGGGCCTGGAGTCTGACAGCAGGCTGTACCATGCCGGCCACAGACTGGCCATCTCCTAGAAGAAGAAACTCCCATCTCCTAAGACCACGGTGAGAGGGGATTTTTGTGATGCACACTAAGCCAATTCTGAAAAATACAGGTGGGAATTATGAACTCTCATTGTACAGGTAAGGAAACTGAAGTGCAAAGAGGCAAAGTGGGCTGCCCAGCTGGTAAATAGCTGAGCCTGAAGTGGAGAGTTCAGTACCACTGCCCCAGCATTACAGCCTTGCCTGCCCAATCCAGGAAGAAAGGATGGGATGGGTAATTCTCTTCTTTAGGCTCTGGATTTAGTCCCTATCCGATCAACAGAGATTGTCTAATCTCAATTTTATTTTTCCACAATTGTTTACTAATTGAACCCAAGAAACTGGGACTGCGTAGGGCAGGGTTGTGGTGGAAACAGGTTGCTCCTTCAGAGGATTGAAGGGTTCTAGAAACACATATCAATGCAATTTGCTCATAAACTTAAGAACCACGCTTCGTTGGGAAAGACCGAGTGCAAACACCGCTGATTCTACTTCCCTCCTTCCTCAGACACACCCAAACGCCTTGGTCACGAAGGGTGGCCTCTTCTTTTTCTACTCTTAAACAAAGTGGCAGATACCCCATTTAAACCTGAAAAAGACAATAAAGAGATTTGGTTTCAGGAAAAGTTGTTTGCTTGTTTGTGGAAAGTTTAAGGAGTGGGAGCAGGACCGCCAGGAGTCCCAGCTGCTACCAACTCAAACAACTAGAGTAAGCCTTTAGCTACGTGCACTGGGTACTATAAAACGCCAGGTGGGAGTGGGTCAGCCAGGCGGGAGCTGGGAGGGAACTGGAGACGAGGCACAGCCCCACCTAAAGGTGTCCACAGAGAATGGGCCTGTGAAAATTCAGGCCCGGATCTGCTGCCAGATCTGATTTCACAAGAGAAGTCAGGAAACAAGGATTTAAAAAGAAAATATTTCTTTTGACCTTTCATCTTTGGCAACTAATGTGTTCTCTGTTTTATCCTCAGTGCTTCACAGGGCCTGGAATGTAAGAAGTGCTCAAATGAATGACCAAAAGAATGAATTATAAATAATGCACATAACCCAATTAAAAATAAGCAAACAACTTGAATAGACTTTTTTCCAAAGAAGATATATGAATGGCCAACAAGCACATGAAATGCAAATTAAAACCACAATGAAATACCACTTCACGCCCACTAGGAAGGCTGTAAACAAAAAACCAAAATATCAAGTGTTGGTAAGCATGTGGAGGAACTGAAACTTTTTTTCCGTTGCGGAGCACAGGCTCCGGACGCACAGGCTCAGCGGCCATGGCTCACGGGCCCAGCCGCTCCGCGGCATGTGGGATCTTCCCGGACCGGGGCACGAACCCATGTCCCCTGCATCGGCAGGCGGACTCTCAACCACTGCGCCACCAGGGAAGCCCAAGACTAACTTTTACGCAATAAGGAAGGGCTGCAGGCTGCCCATGAAGTTCATGTGCTGTCCTCTTGGGCAAGCCTCAGTCCTCAGTCAACATACTCACCCTTGTGTGAGACACAGCTCCAGTTAAATGTGCCAATGCATCTTCTAGCTCATGGCAGATGAGAGGCAGGCTCTCCTCTTCCATCTCCCTTGCACATCACCCCAAGATTCATTATTCAACCCAGCAGCCCAAGTACTGCTCATTGATCCACGCACCATGGGGCTGCATTCTTGCGGGGGGGG